CGGCGCCGAACGGCAGGTATGTATAGGGCGTGAGTTTATCACGATTTTCGGGTAAAAACCGATCGGGAATGAAGTCATGGGGTTTGGGATAGTATTCCGGGTTGTGATGAATGGCGTGAATAGGAATGAATATCTCAATGCCTTTTTTAATCGTTATTCCGGTATCGCCTGTAATAAAATGATTTAATAATTAGTAATTTAATAAAACACACTTTTGAGATAAATTTACCTAATTTGTAGTCTTCACTGCCCACACGAGTAGTCCCCGGCGCCGGACTATGTAATCTTAAGGACTCACTAACACATGCGTCCAAATAAGGCAATCGGATTATTGTGTCGTAATCCAGGTTTCCGTTGGCGTCAGTGTTTGCCACCACTTCTTCCATCAGTTTCTTCTGACACTCGGGATTAATGGCCAACAAATAGCTCATGTGTGACAACAGATGACCAGTTGTCTCAAAACCGGCCAAAAAGAAAAGAAGACTATTTGCCAATATGTCGAGGTCTGACACTTCCAGTTTGGATTTGTTAGTCAAGAGTTTGCGGTTGTCATCCATCCCGTGGTGCGCCTCCGCGGCCATCAGTTTATCGTCGATGTCCTCCAAATTGTCCACATTTTTCTGTGCGTTAATCATAAGTTGCAAAAAGTCGTGATGGCCTCCACTCTTGTCTTTCTTTCTTTGACTCACTATTTCTGTGATCTTTAAATGCAAAAAAATATTAATTATTAAACTTAATAATTTAGTTATCAAATTCTTGCACTAATAAATGACAACTACTTACAGCTCTCTTAAAGAATTCAGTGGTCGTCGGCTCTAATATAGATATGTTGAAGAATTTCATCACTGGTTTCATTGTCAAATACCCAAAAGATCTCCACATGTTTTGACTAAACAGTTTTCTAGCGTTGATTATAAATGGATTGTTCGGATCGTTATGTGTGTCTGTCTTCGTAGCGAAGGCACAGCTGGCGATCCCATCCATAGTGTAGTTACCCATCAGTGACCGCACGTCAATCTCTTGTTCGCCGTTCGCCGCCTTTTCCAGCATTTTGTCCACACCTTTAACGCAGTGCTCAACCAATGCATACATTTTGCGAATCTTTCCGGTACTGAATGTCGGAGAAACCTATGGCCACAAGAATTGGACAAATATATAATAAATAACAATTTGTAAACTATTCGTGTAGTAAATGAGTTTTACAATAGATCGCAATCGTTTCCATTCCTCATCTTCAGCTGAAAGCAACGAGTGATCCGCTATTTCATCAATAGATCCCAAAGTGTTATGATTTACAAATAAGTGAAAGTCTTTGATCATAATATTCTTCACCAATTCTGGTTCGGCTACTATTAGTTGTGGTTTTGATCCCATATATGCGCTATTAGTTTGGATTAAACAATTCATTTCAATTATTATTATGTTTTTGATTAAAATATATACGTGTATAGTATATATTTAAATTTATATAATTGTGTTAAATTAGTTGTTATAACTTTATAACAAAATATATTTACCCATAAATTTTCCCGTATTTCTCAAGTCTGTTGTCTTCAACTTCTTGATAAGTGCGGAAAAACAATTCCCAAACATTTCCAAATAATATGATAGGTTTGGGACCTTTTATACCACGAGATGACCAGTAATTGAAATTACGGCTCAAATATCTAAATAAAAATTTTAAAATATTTTAATTAAATGAAATTTTAGATGAAATTTTAAAGCATACAAATAAAGGCCAATGAGTGCCGAAATTATAACACCAAACGAAGTAAAGCTCAATGAAAACATTATTTCAATTTAAGTTTAATTATTTTTATTAAATAATGAAAGACAAAATAAAATGATTTTGAAAACTTTAAAAAACAATTTGCAAAATGTTATGTTTGTCTGAGAACTTAACATTTAATTGTTATATTGAATTGTAAAACGAGAGTCACTTTATATACCAAAAGTCTAGTCTCACACTTACATTAGGAAAACGTTTGAATAAGAAATTGATTGTATCCATAGATTAAGTACATTAAGGCCGCGATAAACCTAACTTTGCATTACAACTATTTCTATGGTATACTAAAATACAGCTATTTTATTGTTAAATACGCTTACACTCAATGTTACACTCAATGCAATTGCTGTGTATATGTATTGCAATGATAATCGGTTTAAATTCTTATATAAATTGATAAATATATAAATTGTATATGAAAAGTAGTGATATAAGTTATCTAACCTTTAATTACATTACAAAATACTTTTTAAACCATTGATTTGTATTAAATACAGTATAAGCCATTGTATTAACCGTTGATTTATCAGCATTGCATCGCTTTATTGTTGTTTGTATTAAATAATATGAGAGTAAGGCGACCATGGAGCTCTTAGTGAATCATATATGAATTCACAGTATCATTTAAACTTTATTAAAAGTATATAACATTAACCTAGCGATTACACACTTATTCCCCTCCTTACTAAAACATTCTTGGCTGAAAATCCTGCCAGCACAAATAAATGCAGTTATGCTTGATTTACAGGGGGTGTAGATGGCAGTTAAATAGAGAGCATAGAGATCAATACAGACGTATGTGTAGTGAATGTATAGGTTTGTGTGCATAGTGTGTGCAGTGGTATATAGTTATACGCATTAGGCATTCATGGCTGGATTCTCTGCCAACTTTGGCGCTCAATTTATGTGGAGTTCAATCATAGCCTTATATGCAGTGACGCGCTTACACTGTGGATATAGATGTAAAGTGCTATACATTTAAGACATTGTGGCAGACTTTTTAGCCAACATTTTGTGTTCAATCAAAACGCATGTATAGTGTATAGTGTTGAGCAATGACCACTATCAATGTTTACTATGAGTTTACTATAAATGAATTTAATTAATATCATATTTTCTTCATATTAATAATTATTTAAGTATATTTGTTTTAAAAGTAAAATTTTATTATATTTTTAATTGGAAATCACTAATGTTTTTAATGCATGGTTTAGTATGTGTTGAATGATCTAAAATTTTTATTTCTACACAATCTTCATCACTAGCAATATCTTCAGCACTTTCATCATTTAACAGGCCCTCGAGTTGTTGTTAAGTTAATATGTTTTTACGACTCATTATTATCACTTTGATTCAATGTATTATAAACAATAACTTTAAATTTATTTAATAAATTGTTCATAGAATTCAAATCCGATATCCTTAATTAATTAAGGATATCGGATTTGACAATGTGTTATTTATAGTTATTATAGTCCAATAATAACAACACTTTAATTCATATTTGATTTGTTATCCATTTGTTTATAAATGGCTGTCACTTAGCCCACAAACAACTAATAATGAGAACTCACTATCAATGCATTGAGAGCCAAACATAACATCTAGTGTTTAGCATTTGATTGCATTGTGCATATAAACCTGTACACTGTTCGGGTACACTATACATGCGTTTGCATCGAACACAAAATGTTGGCTAAAAAGTCAGCCACAATGCCTTAAATGGATATCACTTTATATTAATATCTACAGTATGTGTGCGTGACTGCATATAAAGCACTGATTGAAGTCTACATAAATTGAGCGCCAAAGTTGGCAGAGAATCCTGCCATGAAGGCCTAATGCGCATATCATTATACGACAACACACACTATGCACACAAACATACACATACGTCTGTATTGATCCCAAAGTAGTGTTATAAATACAGTGTTATACATCGCCACTCAATATAAGAGTAAACACCACTGAATTGCTACTGCAGTGAAGATGAACAAATAGTGTGTAGATTGAAGCGCCACTCCGTTAGAACTAAAAATGCACTAATTTGTTATGGGTTTAAAAAGTTAATCGTTTGACATACTGGCAGGATTTCTAAAGTGACCTCTGTTCAACAATTAATTACTCGGACACTAGAAATGTAAATGAAGTTTTGTTTAATTTAAAAGTTGCTCAAAGGTTTGGTTGAGGCATTCCTAGAGTTTTTTAAGTGTGACTCTTAATACTGATTTTTAAGAAGAGTTTTAGATCTAATTTATAAAAAGTCAGCCAAGAAGTTGATCAGTAGGTTAATAAAAAGTAATGAAAATGTAAAATACTGTGAATAAATATATGATTCACTAAGAGCTCCATGGTCGCCTTACTCTCATATGTGCTATTTTTAACTGACGACTTATTTAAAGTTATTTATTAGTTGAAAAACATCAGTGAAAAATTTAATGGCAACACGTGTTAAATTAGTTTATTTCTTTATTTTTGATGTAAACCAATTGTGCCAATAATTTATAAACTAAATACTAAATTTTATAATTATTCTTATAATGAATTCTTATATTTTATATTATGTAAAGAACTTAAGACTGAAACTCAGAATTTATGAGCAAACAAATCACACAATAAGGTGATTTTGACAAGGTTTTATTATAAATATAAATAAATATTTGACTTGCAAATGTATATAAAATTATTAAATATTTAAATATATATACAATTATATAATTAAAAATTATGACATTTCTTTTAAAAAGAATGAAAACTACAGTAGTTACAATTTACTTAATTGTATAAGTTTCCATAAAGTCAGTGATTGTTTTAACATTTAAAATTAATATAGAAATGTTCTGTTACTTAAGATAAAAACAATCTTTAACTGCTTGAAAAGGCATGTGATAATGAAAATACTCATAATGCATTAAACATCTTATACAGAGTATAAATTTGTGATAATTAATTAAAATTTTAGCTATAAATTTGACGATTTATAAATAAATACTATATATAATATTTGGATTTTACAGTATAAGCAAATATTCTAAAGTCCTTTAATTATGTACATTTAATAAAAATTCTATAAAATTTTGTTTTTGAATCATAATATGTTACACAATATATTATAACTATAAACAAATAATAATTTTGTTTATGAGCTTATTAATTTTATAATTATTTTTAAAAAAATTTAAATCACACTTAACAAAATATTTAAACATTTAAAATTTACATTAATTTCCCACTAAATACTAATTTTTATAAAAAATTGTGGATCAGAGATGAGAACCTTTTACATGAGATTCATAATGTATTTAATTAGTGTCTTTGTTTAATCCCAATAGTGATAACAAGTGGTGCGAACTTTCCTCGAGGTATCTTAAGCGGCACTTCAGTACTCTTTGAGCGGAATAACTCGTATTTAGTGATAATGTGTGCCATCACTGACTTGGCCTCCATTAACGCAAACCTCATTCCCACACAATTTCTCGGTCCGGCGCCGAACGG